AAAAAAACGCACACTGCATGATTCCATCTATATGAAATGCCCAGAATAGACAAATCCTCAGATAATTAGATTAGGGGTTACTTAGGACTGGGAAATTTGGGGTTAAATGAGGAGTAAATGCTAATGGGTATGATATTTCTTTTGGGGATGACAAAAGTATTCTAAAATTGATTATGATGATAGTCGTCCAAACCTGTGAGTGTACTGAAAATCACTGAGTTATATACTTTAAATGGGTGAACTGTATGTTATATTATATGTATATCTTGATAATGATGTTATATAAAAAATGCTAAGTGAAAATTTGCAGAACAATATATATTATGTGAACATATTCTTATAAAGAAAGTTCTTAATAAAGCATTCTATTCTTAAAAATTAGCACAATTTGTGAAGCAGTATAAAAGAGGAAACCATAAGACTTTTGTGTATTCATCCTTGAGATAATAACTTTCATTATGTATTAGCAACCAGGTCTGGTAACAAAATCAACAGAAATTGGTGCTACCTCATTAATAAAATAACAATAACAATAGCATTAAAAGCTATTTGTATATACCAACACTGTGATAAATTCATAACATACATTTTGTCATTTGTTTTTCTTTCTTTCTTTTTTTAAGACAGAGTCTCACTATGTTACCCTTGGTAGAATGCCCTAGAGTCACAGCTCACAGCAACCTCAAACTCTTGGGCTCAAGCAGATTCTCTTGCCTCAGCCTCCCAAGCAGCTGGGACTATAGGCATCTGCCACAATGTCCGGCTATATTTTAGAGATTAGGTCTCGCTCTTCCTTGGGCTGATCTCAAACCCATGAGCTCAGGCAATCCATCCGCCTTGGCCTCCCAGAGTGCTAGGATTACAGGCGTTGAGTCACCACACTGGGGACCTGTTTTTCACAACACTCTGAGGATGGCCCTATATTTTCTACCACTCTCCCTTTGCTTTCTAATTTCCAACATCCCAAAGTTTACATTTATAAAATTATATTATTTGTCAGAATATAAAAAATACATAATTCCTTTTGTTGTTAGCAATAGCTATAGAGAATAAATACTTAAACTCTGTAGTTGAAGTGGTTTTTATGTGACCCTATACAGTAAAAGAGTATGTTGATAAATCCATCTATATATGTTTAAGATTTTAAGTTTAAACTAAAGCATTTTCTATTTATTTTAATTGGTCTCAAATTTGAAGAGAAAATACTTTTAAAATAGTTGGTTTTTTGTTTAATGTGATATTAAATTTGAAAGACAAATCATTGGCAAAGGTAATGTTTATAGTCTTTTTTTCATTGTAAATACAGACTAGTTATGTTGAAAATCTTACCTATAAATGCTAACCTTAGTAATTTTTATTTGTTTTTAGTATTATGTGCCAAGAACCTTGCAAAGAAAGACTTCTTCAGTAAGTAAACACTCATTTTTGCTCTTACAATATTAATGCTATTCATGTATTTCTGAAATTTTAAGCATTTTAAAAAATATTAGGTATGTTCTTCTAAAAGTCCTGCCCTTTACTGAATAGGAATCCGTGGTTTGTCAAACTTTACTTTCCAGTTGACTATAACACTGGAACTCCTTAGCTCAAGGGCACAGAATTTTAAATCATACCCCAAGCCTGTCTCTCCCTGCCCCAGTCTAGCCACCCTCTGTTTTCTCTGCCTTCTCACGCAGTGGGATGTTCCTTTCTGCTGGGTAAAGTGCTCTCAGCTCAAATACAAATGGGATATTTTCTGTCAAATAGCTAGGTTTCGGTAAAGTTGTTAATTAAATTTTACAAATTAAATCACATTTTGAAAGCTCTGTAATTAAAGGAATTGCAAAAATAAATAGAAAATCCTTTTCTAAAGGAAAGAATGAATTACTCTTTAACGGTAAGAAATTTACCTATAGGCGCTTGAAGCATGAAATTCTTCTCACACTTCTTGATCTTCACAAGAAAGCTTCACAGCTCTTAAATGGTATTGTTCACACTTTAAAGATGAAGAAACTTAGGCTCTAACAAGGCTTTCTCCAAACAGCTAGGAAACTCCAGCAGGGTGGCTCACACCCAGGTCTATCTCGAAAACCATTACCCTTGCCACCTTCTGATCTAATAAACCTGTCCAACTCTATCATTCAGGGACGTACCAAATTAAGACCTGATGAATAAGATAGGCAAAGATCAGTAAATACAATTTATGGGCATTCTTATTTTTTAGAAAATGCAATTAATTTCTCATACCTTTTTTTGTAACCCCATTTAGTGATCATTAGAAATGGAAATTGAATTTAAGCCTGTTTTTATAGTTTTCTTTTCTTTCCTCAAAAAATCTGAGAGTAGGCTCAGCACCTGTGGCTCAGGTGGCTAAGGCGCCAGCCACATACACCTAAGGTGGCAGGTTCAAATCTATCCCAGGCCTGCCAAACAACAATGACGGCTGCAACCAAAGAAAAATAGCCCAGCGTTGTGGCGGGCGCCTGTGATCCCAGCTACTTGGGAGGCTGAGGCAAGAGACTCGTTTGAGCCCAGGAGTTGGAGGTTGCTGTGAGCTATGATGCTACGGCACTCTACCCAGGGGGATAGCTTGAGGCTCTGTCTCAAAAAAAAAAAAAAAAAATTTAAAAAATCTGAGAGTAGAGGCATATTAAGTTGTCTCTCTCAGAAAGATAAACAGAAATGACTTATGTTGCAGATTGAAACTTGCCTTAAACTAGAGAATAAAATGTCCAAGGGTAATCTTCTTTACCAAATTAGATAATTTTGGAGTTCTCAGTAGCCTGAAAGACGGTGTTCTGTGTCATACTGATAGATCCATAGTCTCATCTAGGTGTGACTGTCCTCTCTCCTCTAGGACTCCCTGACCCCTTTGCAAAGATTGTTGTGGATGGGTCTGGGCAGTGCCACTCAACCGACACCGTGAAAAACACATTGGACCCAAAGTGGAACCAGCACTATGATCTGTGAGTTGAACATTGTGTAGGCCATTTGGGGAGTGGCAGAAAAGTAGATGTCTGGTTTTAAGGGAAACATTTAAGGGAAAAAAAGAACTACATTTTTTGATAACAAAAGTGGATGACCAAATGAATACATTTTAGAACTCACATACATGGAAGTTCTTGTGTTGGCATTTTAGATTTTTATGGTTTGGTTCTGTAATTGTGATCCTCAAACTTTTCAATTTCCTGGCCATTTTAGCAGAAAACAGACCATAGTTCACATAACCTACAAGCTACTGTTGTTTAGTAAAACCATAAGCCTACTGGTAATTTTGGCCTAAAAAATGCTTTCTTATGATTACATATTTCTGTTGACTTTTGAGATTTTTGCTTTTTAGTACAAGTATGTTTCCTGCAAGAGAAAATACAATTTTACACGATCAAATGTATATAAGCCATCAGACAATTTCTTTTCTTTTCTTTTTTTTGAGACAGAATCACACTCTACTCAGTAGAGTGCCCTGGCATCATAGTTCACAGCAACCTCAAACTCTGGGGCTCAAGCAATCTTCTTGCCTCAGCCTCCCAAGTAGCTGGTACTATAGGCACTTGCCACTATGCCTGGCTATTTTTAGAGACAGGGTGTTGCTCTTGCTCAGGCTGGTCTTGAACTCCTGAGCTCTGGCAATCCACCCTCCTTGGCCTCCCAGAGTGCTAAGATTACAAGCGTGAGCCACAGTGCCTGGCCTCAGACAATTTCTTATATTCATTCAAAATGCGTATTGTGCATTGAAGACTACTATTTTATGTACATATGTTTTCATATTCCTGCTAAGAAATTTTCATGAAAATAATGCTAAAACATTGTGGGTTTTTTTTTTTTTTTTT